CTGTAGCGGCCAAGGTTGGTAGGCGGGTTGCGTTGAAGCCTCGGCTTCGGCCGAAGAGAGTATGGTTGAAGCCTCGGCTGTGGAGCTCTTCTCAGTGGTTGTGTGGCGACTACTCCTCTATCCACCCTTTGTGTCAGCAAAGGATCATTCCAGGTCAAGGGTGTATGACCGTGGTCGTACGAGCATAGGCTACGCACGTGCATTGCCCATACCCCCTACGGATGTTGGCATCATCCGTCATAGGTCCATACACAGAACAGGCATTGGGGTCGACTGCTTGAAGTCATACGCGAGATGGCATAGGGGGTCCGGTTCGGTGCGTCCTTGAGTCAGAGTCAACGGGCGAACCAGCCCCATCTATTGGCATCATTTCGTCTCCCAAGGCCGGTGCCACGTGGAGCCTATCAGTTCGGGCTATTAGGTCGGTCGGTCCACAGCCATTGAATCAATTGAATTTCGGCCATACATTTTCCTTTAAATAAGGGGCTAGTTGAGCGAGACTTCACCATTTGCTTGGAACCTTTAGTCTATGAGCTACTAAGGACACCTTGGCTTTCCACAACTAATTCCTTAGACTTCTTTTTGCAAACAATTCTTAGGTAAACAACCTCCTTCCTTAACATGTCAACCTCGGATTCTGAGCTTGAAGCTTACAACCTTCATAGCAACACTCCTAGCAACGATGAGAGCAATAGTAGTGACTCCGAGAGTTTTTCTCGAACGTCTAGTGTCCAAGTTTTGAGGGAGAGGGTCACGTCTTGCGGGGCCGAGCGCGATTAGCAGAGTGCGGACTCTGCTAATAAGAGTACTGGCTTGATGCGGCCGAGGGCCAACGCCACTAGAAATGTTCTTGCGCTTCCCAAAGTAGTAGACGTGGAAGAGATTGAGGGACTCATAGCTGAGGATCAGGCCGAGGCGTGACGTTGGGGCGTTATCCCTGCTCTAACCTAGATAACATTCTTGACAAGGAGCAGGTTAGGGCTTTGGTCGAGAAGTACTACATTATGGAGCAAGTTAGGGTTTTGAAGATGTTTTCTATAGATGACGCCAATTGTTACTGCCAAATATGGAGTCGAGGGAAACAACGTAATTTATAGTGTCAGAGGCCCTAGGAGTTATCCTAGGGGCAGGGGCGTAAACTCCGACGATCAAGTTAGCCGAGAGCTGTAAGGGGTTGGACCAAGCAAGAGAGGAAACTTAGAGCTTAAATCTGTGTGTTTACCTCAATGTGTGAGCCCCTTTTATAGTCGGAGTTGCCTAAGAAGATGGACAATTGGGAGCAGGTGGCGGCGGTTGGCAGTGATTGATGATGGATGGCAAGTAGACCTGTTCATGGGCCGAGCCGGGCCGGGCTCGGGCCGGGCTTTCACTTGTCACTAATGAAAATATACTAGGCCCAAGCCCAAGCCTGGCCCAACCAACAAGCCTATAACTTGGGCCCAAGCCCGGCCCTGATAAAAAGCCCGAAGCCCGACCTAATTGAAAAAAAAAACAATTTTTCCTATTCAAATTAGAATTAAAAATTCATATAGTATTTTTTTCTATTTAAATGAACAATGGGCCTACAAGATAGTATTTTTTCCCTTTCTTTTATATTTAAAAACACAATTTTACATTATTAAATCAAAAAATTTATTCAAATGGACATAATCACATAACTCATTTTAAGTTTAATATTAGGTCGGGCCGGGCCGAGCTCGGGCCGTGCTATTTTGACAAAACCCGAGCCCGGCTCGAATTTATTGCAAGCCAGGCTTTTTGGCCCGAATTTAAGCCCGCGGGCCTATAAGCATGTTCAAGCCCGTCGGGCCACCCGGTCCATGAACAGGTCTAATGGCAAGGATGCATCCGTCTGATGCCACATGCCAAGGTTCGTGGGTCAGCCAGATAGTGATGGGATATGCTCCTCACAAGCACATCCACCGTGCATTGGGAACATCTCCCGTGAATAATAACTAATAAGTACGAGAGATGTTCACAATAGATGATAGGATGTGCGTGTGAGGAGAATATCCGGTCTCGGCCAAATATCCCTACATCAATGCCCATATTTGTTTATTCATATGGCTTTTCTTCTTCTGATCCTGTACCGCAAGTTTTTTACGTTGGATCAATGTTGGTCCATATGCATTTTTATTTGGATGTTTGGCTTTTGGAAGCTGAAAAGATCCTTTCATTGGGTTTGATATCAAGCTTCTACAATTTTCAGTATTTTTTAGGAGCAATTGGCTAACCATTTCAGATTTCTTTTTGCATTGGGGATGCAACTTGCACTCCGAATCTCCTGCCCACAAGAATTCTGTCCAAATCTACCCACAACACACTACCCCATGCATTGAGTGCATCTCCTTGTTCATAATACTATTTAGGTGGATGAGATGTTCTCGTGAGCAGGAGATATAGGTGCAGTTGGGTTAATAAATTATAAAATTTTTAAATAAAGCTGAAAATTAACTTGGACCTTGATCCAATTTGGATGTAGTTGAAATTTTGAAATTCTTCAAATAACGTAGCCTCACTTGCAGCCCTAATTTGTGTGAAAGCAAGTGGAAAATCCGT